GAGGCGGGCGCCTCGGCCGAACCGTGGCCGAGGTGTGCGCCTCGGCTAACCATTGGCCGAGGCGGGCGCCTCGGCCAACACTTGGCCAAGGCGTGCCTCGGTCAGACTGTGGCCGAGGCGGGCTCCTCGGCCGAACTTTGGCCGAGGCAAGCCTCGGCCATCCGAGTCGAGTCACGTCTCGGCCAACCTGTGGCCGGGGCGTGCGACTCGTTTTTTTTTTTTTTTTTTTGGAAACAACATGGGCGCACCACAAGCACGAGATACTATTCCAAAAGATTTCAGAATGCAAAGCGGGCGGACCGCGATTACCAAACACTAGTCCCAAACGACTACTAGAATATTAAGGAAAATACTTAATCAAATGTTCCTAGCTCCATACCCGATCGATTATCTTTACAGATGGTGTGGACTTATGGATAATTTCTGCCAATCTTTATGCATGCTTTAACGTAACAACTGCAGGCTGCTCGCTGGTTTCCTCTGACGACCCCTATCCCATTCGGAGTAGGGAACTTCATACACAAGTGTTCCACCGACACTATGGCCTTGAGGTCCTCCAGTGCCGGCCTCCCCAAAATGATGTTGTGCGCACAAGTGAGTCTTACCACGATGAATTCCATGTCAAGTTTGCGAATGTTAGGGCTCGTGCCTATCTCCACTGGTAAGGCCACCGACCCCTCCGTCTCCACTGAATCACCCGTAAATCCAGAGAGTGGGGTACGTACTTCTTTGAGCTGGTTCCTAGGTATCCCCAACTTGGTGAAGGCATCGTAATACATCACATTGACTGAGCTTCCCGTGTCGACTAAGATGCGGCGGATAATGACATCGTTGACGTCCATCTCAATCACCAAGGCGTCACGATGGGGTAGCGGGCCCTCTGGGAGGTCATCATTAGAGAAGGTGATGGCCTCCTGTCTCTGTTTCTTTTCTCTAGGAAGACTCGCCACTTCTCCCACGTATATCTGTCGGCTCCACTTCTTTCTTTCTGCGGGCGTGTCGCCCCCTGCCGGTCCACCATAGATCGCTATCACTCTGCTAAGATATTTGGTCGTGGTCTCTTTTTTTTGGCGTTTGAGGTGGATGGCTCGGTGCCATCCTCATTCATCCAGACATTTTTTGGTGGATTGTGTTGCGGCTGTTGCTGCTGCTTGGATCGCTTGACGAAATGTCGGAAGTAGCCCTGCTGGATGAGGTCTTCTATTTGTCTCTTCAAAACGTGACACTCATCCGTATCATGTCCGGCATGCCTATGAAACCTGCAGTACTTTGTTTGGTCTGCCTTTGGGGAGACCTTCATGCACTCCTCGGGGAATTCTACCATTCCCATCTCCTCAGCTTGCTTTAGAATGACACTGACGGGATGGGTAAGAGGAGTTAAATTACGCAAGGGGACTAGGCGAGGTCGTTCGTAGTCTCGGCCCTTCCCTGCGGTCGGGTGGTTCGAGAGTGGTGCCTGGCTGGGCGGACCAGCTTTCCCAGGTTTCCCGTTTTTCCTGTTGTCCTCCTCATCTTTCTTTTTCCTGTTGACGTCCTCTGCCTCGGCATAGCGGCTAGCCGTCCTCATCAAATCTTCGTAAGAACGGGGGTGGTGGGCGTTCAGCTGCTTGTGGAAATACCCTGATCTTAAGGCATGGATAAATATTGGGATCGCCGCCTTGGAGTCGAAGTCGTAGACATTACTGACTTCCTTTTTCCATTTGACCAGGAAGTTTTTTAGGCTCTCGCCTCTATCTTGCTTCACTACACAGAGGTGAGAGAAGGGTTTCTTACGCTGTATGCTACCGGAGAAGTATGTTAGGAAGCTCTTGGACAATTCCCCAAAGTTTTGGATCGACCCATCTGGGATGGTGTTGAACCAGTCTTGGGTCGCTCCATCCAGGGTGGACAAGAACGCTCGGCACATGATGGCGTCCCCTGCCCCGATCATTACCATAGCAGCCTTGTACCTCGTCATGTGGACACGTGGGTCAGTGGCCCCCGTGTACTCCTTGATAGCGGGCAACCTAAAGTCCTCGGCAAAGGTACGTCCATGATGCTTGGGGAGAATGGTGCTGTCATCCGTACCTCGGGTTCCGGCGACTGCTCCCGTGCCTCCACCCTTCTTGCTAACTCCTCGATTCTTCTCTGCAGCCTCTCGACCAGGGCTGACTCGTCAGGGTGCCGGCGCGGGGCCGGCTGCCGCTCCTCCATGTGTCGTCGTGGAGCTAGTTCATCAACGCGTCGCTTTCCCGCCGAGTGCCATCGCGGAGCCGGCTCTTCGATGCGTCGCTCCTCCAAGTGTCGACGTAAGGCCGACTCATCAACGTGTTGGCGTGGGGTCAGCTCCTGAGACTCGCCCACCTCCTCTGTGGGTGATCTCTCGGCTTCTCTGTTTTCGTGTTGGCGAGGACCTCTGGTAAAGGATCCCTCGGCCCGTGATCCTAATCTTTGCCGCACGGGCGCCCTTTGTCCCAGTCGTTCTGGTGCAGATTGGGAAGGGCCTGGTTGTCGTCTGGCCGGTGCACTTCTTTGGGTCTCCACCCTTATTTCCTAGGGCCGCGGCGGGGGCACTTGACCTTGCAGTCCCACCGCCACCTGATTTAGCGCCGCCGTCACTGCTTGCTGAATGACATCGGCAGTCGCCTGGAGGTTCATGACTTGGTTCGCCCCTCCATTGTGGGGTTGGTCTCGGAGGTCTCCTCCATTGTTGAGTTGGTCTCGAAGGTCTCCTCCATTGTTGAGTTGATCTCGAAGGTCCTCGGGCCTCCCGTTGTTGAGATGTTCTCGGAGGTCCCCTCCGCGATTGTTTGTGAGTAGGTCACGGAGGTCACCTGAGGCGTTGCCATTGTTCACGTTGCGAGAACCGTGGGAGCTGCGGGACGCCATTCTTTCAAGCTTGCTGTTGAAAGAGAAAAAAAAGTTGTGTTGTAGCCTGCTTGAGTATTGGACTCAGGCTCTCAATGAAAGCACCAATGACGGTAATAATGTTACCGGAAATATAATATAAGAGTAACGAATAAGAGAGTAACAATAGTTGTATTGCCTTTGTCTCAGTATAGAAAGTACAGTGTGTCCCCTGCTCAGCTGAGGGAAGTTCTATTTATGCTAAGTCCTAACGGTAACAACATGAAGAGACATCTTTGGGGAGCTGAGCTAACGGCAAGAATATGAAGAGTCATGAATGAGGCGTTGAGGCTTTAACTCTCTCTCATCAATGGTGGCATCAAAGGTGGCTTCAATGACAATAAATGTGACACTTGTTGGATTCTAACCGTTGGAGTTCTGCCCGTTGGGTTCCCATGTGATGCTGAGTCAGATGCTCATTTGTGATCCGGGTCGGGTGCCAGCCCTATTATCCTGTCATACTATTATGATTGATAGATTAAATTAACTCGGGTAGTCCGAATTACTTAACCCAATAATAATAAGAACAAATAAATGGATAATGAAATGAAAAAGACAAGGAATATGTGTCGCGGAGACAAAATTTGTATTAGTAACAATGTTGTAAGATGATTACAATTGAATGCATGTATTAATTGAAAGATGTCTTAACAAGACAATAATGAGTTAATTTATACTAAGGCTTCCTCCTAACCGCCACCATGAGAATATGACGGGTGGTTGGATCTCCTTTGACCGCGTCCGCGCGTGCACCCAAGGCTGAGGCCACCCCAGGCCAAGACTACCTCCAGCCGAGCAGCCCTAGGCCGAGGGCCACCCCCGACTGAGGCCGCCCCAAGCCTGGGCGATTGTCCTCCGAGTTGTCCTCACTTCTCCTCGGGTCGGTTTTGTTCGGGTCCGTCGAGTCTCTAATATATCCATCAATGGTTATCTATAAATATAATACTTATAACCTTGAATATATTATCATCACAATTAATAAATAATTTTCTTTAAATAATAATGTATCGAAAATTAGACGGAGAAGAGAGCGTTGTATCCCTGTCCACGTTGAAGCAAGGAACATGAATCCTTACGAAGTCGTCTGAAAGATAAATGTCATCTTTATATCAATCTTCAAACTACATGGTAAATCTAAATATTTCAAAAAGTTTTGTGTTAAAACTACAATATATATTTACATTGGATAAACACAACCAATTGATTAAGTTAAAACTTAAAAGGTTAATCATTTAGGTTAAGTACGTACGTGTGTAATGACTAATGACTAAGTTGGAATCCAAGAGAGAGGCAGCATGCACTTTCACATACCATCAATTTAATAATTGATTACGTTATGGTTTATGTGGCCTACGTTGGAAGTGGCCCTTCCATGTCTGGTCTTACGTTATATATGACATGTGCACCAATCCCATGCATTATGTGCACATGCTAATTTCAAAACCCAGCTAATTAATGCGCCAAGAAACGCGACAAACTCAAATAACCAACGCCAAAAATGTACGCTTAATTTTTGCTCTCACTTGTAAATTAGAAAGGGATATATTTATGCACGATTATATCTCATTTCTAACTTATTCGGAAAAATGATTACATTCTTAACATATTCCGTGAACCAATCATATTATTCTAAATTTCTTTTTCATTTACAATATAATAGGAGAATGGTTTTTAGTAACAGTTGCATCGACTAACCAACACTAAAAGTGCAGCTATGAAAGTAATTACAAAGTTTCAAGTTCAACTCCTAATGGGAGCGGCCTATTGGTATTCTCAGTTTAAGTCGGTCAGCTATTCGCAACCTATGCTAATTTATCTTTTTGTGACCCTTTGTCGGCTAATATCAATATGTTATAAGACAAGCTTCATTCAGAAGTCATAATACCAATGTTGCAAAAATCGGGCCTAGGCGCCGATTAATCCCTCTAGGCGCCCGCCTAGGCGCTCTAGGCGGTCCCCAGGCGCCTAGAGGGCGCCTAACGATTTTTTCAACCTTGCATAATACATCTTTCAAGTAACAGTTACGAAGTTTTGTGAAAATCAAAGCTATATATGACAATAATGAATATTGTGTAAGGGTATATTTTTATTTTTGGGTTCTTTTTCTTTTTATTATTAGAATTGAAGTAACTTTATTTTATTCCATCTCACCTCAAAAAGATTTAAAGAAGCATTACACTATAAGAGAAGCTTAGGCTAAGGTACTTAGGTGTGTCCCCCCACATGCTCTCATATACTTCTCCTTTCACACTTTTGTCTTCCATGGAAGAATCGGACGACCACATTCCGACGAATAAATATCAGGCAACCACAACCGCCGTCTCGCCGCCGTCAAATTCGTCAAACGCGGCGGCGGAGAAGAAGAAGAAGAAGAATGACGACGGGAAACACCCAATCTACCGCGGCGTGCGGAAGCGGAGCTGGGGGAGATGGGTGTCGGAAATTCGCGAGCCGAGGAAGAAGTCGAGAATCTGGCTGGGAACATTCGCCACGGCGGAAATGGCGGCTCGGGCTCACGACGTAGCCGCCATAGCCATTAAGGGCTCCTCGGCTGTCCTTAATTTCCCCGAGTTAGCCGCCAAGCTCCCCCGCCCGGCTTCCAAGTCCGCCAAGGACGTCCAAGCCGCCGCCGCGAAAGCCGCTGCCCTCGACTACCCGCCGGAACCGCCCACGCCTAGCCAAGCCGAACCCGAATCCGAGCCATTCTCCCCCGAGGAAACCGCAACATCCGAATCCTCGTCGGAATCTCCGTCGAGCTTCAACGAGGACCCGTTTCTCGACTTGCCGGATCTTCTCTTCAACCCGGCCCACCGAGCCGCCGCCGAGTTCGGCTACACTTCGCCATGGCTCCAGCTGGCTGGATTCGAGCCGTTTCACGCTGATATTTGGTCTGAAGAGAATTTTCTGTGGAATTACAGCTAAAAAGCAGCCGCCTTTTTAGCACAGCTAGCTCAAGCTGGTGATTCTCCACTGGTAAATCTGCATGGCTTAAAGAGTGATTAATTAATATTCTTACTGTAATTAATCGCAGTAAAACATTAAGTTTTCTCTTACAAAATCTTTGGATTTACCTGTGGGAAAAAGTTACCCGAGGTAAATGACAAGAACGAAAATTTTCATGTAAATTATTAAAGCGGAATAAAACATTCTCTTAGGCACTGTTTGGATTGAATTTATTTGATTAACGCGTTAACCCACTTTTTCCCTTTTTCTTTATATAATTTTATAGTGAGGAATCCACTGCCCAAACAGTCCAAGAACATTCAAGAATGCATGTGGATTATATGAAAGCTAGCATGCATCATATCCTTACATACATATTTTAATCCATTTATTCCAAATGTTATCTATGTGAATAGTAAATTAAAATACTACTCCATAAATCGGTCTATCACACGACATATTACAAGCGCGTGGGATGCACGTGTCCAGCTGGACACTTGTTATTTGCCTCGTGTAATTAGAGTTGAGCCTTTTTTTTCTTTCTTAGTGGGACCCACTATGGAGACGAAAACCATGTCCTTAGCTAAGGACTCAAAATCTTCTCTCTTTTATATGTGCGAAACTCACCTGCAAAAACCTTCTAAAATCTCATATTTTTTATGCGCTTAAAGATGATTTCACCAACACTTATCAGTTTGTTGTGTCAGGAAACGAGTCTGAAATAATGAGCGAACACATTATTTCTACCTATATATATGTAATTTGGGATACGTATCTATTGTTACTTTTAATTATCCAGACTTTAGTGTCGCGTTATCTCTCTCTGTTTTCTTTTTCTAAAGTTGCATACATGGAAGATTAATATTAAAATGGAATTTTTGGTGTATATTTTAGCTTAGCCACGAATTTTAAATTAAATTCTGATTTATTATCATAATTATAACCTTAATCATAGTAGTTTGTGGAGTTGAGGTTGTCGTAGAGATGAAGCTGCAGATCAGATTGGTATTCTATGGAAAAGAAAGCATGTGGGAAAGAATGTTCCTTTGCACCTAAAACAGCTCGAAAAGAGCTGAAGCCCAATACCCGGGGTGGGGGTGGGGTTGGGGGAGGGGGGTGGGGGTGGGGTGCTTCAATTCTTTTGCCTGTGATTTCTTCCCCTTTTTTTCTTGTTATATTCCTTCTCCTTTTGGGTGGGGAATGGGGGAATGGGATCTACTTGCTAACTCCCTGATGTGTTCATACCACTATCCACTGTTTTAGTTCGTCGGATTCTTTTGTTTTAGTGCTTAAACATAGAATCGAAACACTGAAAAATCTATGCTACAACTCTCCTAGCATCAAAGGAGTGTAGCAAATAAGATTTTAAGGAAATAATGTTTCGCTCGACTCGTATTAATCCTTAAACTTCCGTCTTTTGTTTAAGCCAGTTGGCATGTTGACAGTTGTGGGCAGAATTTTGATGTTGGTCAGAGCATAAAATCTGAAATTTGATTATTTGATGGTATAGTGAAGTGATGAAAGTCCAGCCCTGGAAGTTTGGAAGTGGGTGTTCATGCCAGCTGCTATTTCATTCACTGTCTCTTTCATTCACGTCAAGATGACACAAATCATATCTATTTTAATTAAAGAAAGAGTTCTACTAAATATAATTTTAAATTTTACTCTCTGAATTTAATTTTTTGATATGACGAATTTTGATAAGTTATTTATTTTTTTTTCATGTGAATTTCGATATAAGTGTTTACCTTAGAGTTTTGTGTATGAGAATACAAGTTGAAAGTAAACAATGAGAATACACGGTAGAATTTCTAGGAAAATATTTGGTCGACTCTCATTTTATACTCTTTTACCTCTTACTTCCTCTTATAAATTCTTGATATAAATATATTTTTTTGGATATATATGGTGAAAATAATCGATCCTTGTCACATTAGAGAGAAGAATTTGGGAGTTGTATAGTAAAATTCTTTAATTAATACCAAAGTACTTGATTATTTATCTTACTTAATCAGATGTCTCGGATTTGAATCTTAGGGGGTGTTTGGTTCGTTGAAAAATATTTTTCTTAGAAAATGTGTTCCTAAAAGTGGAGGAAATTTTTGTTTTATGTTGTCTTGTTGGATGGGAACCATTTTTCTTTGGAAGTGGAGTTCTTGAAAGTTGACGAAAACAAATTCTGAGGAAAAGGGTGGTATTTTGTTGTCCGAATGCATTGGGAAGAAAATATAACATGAATGGACTGTTATACTCTCATAAAGTTTCTTAATTACATAGTTATATAATAATATAAGTTATTATCATTATTATTGTTAAGGGCATATTGGTCTTTATATTCATATATAATTCCTTACCATTTCTAACCAACCAAACAATGAAATTCATATTTCAAGTAATTAATTTTCCAGCAACCGAACAATAAAATTTATTTTCTTGGATTTTTTTAAATGGAATTTCAATTTTATTCCTCTTTAAATATTTTCCAGCAAATCAAATGGGCTATTATAGTTTCAACGTGTGATTGTTAGTGATTGGCTTAGAAAACTTAAAAAATAAGGGTCAAATAGGTCATTGAACTGCACACGATAATGCAATTAAGTCACTGAACTTAAAAAACCAACCATTAGGTCCCCAAACTAACCAATTTCAAACAATTCTTCTAATGAAGGTTTTCAACAGGTCAACGGGTCATTCTCTCAAATTAATTATTTTAAAAAAATAAATTTTAAAAATTAGTTATTTAATTTTATTAAAAAAAAAACTCCGGCCAGAGACGAAGAAACCTTCTTCGTCTCCGGCCAGTTTCTTCGTCTCCACGGTCGGAGTTTTTTTTTTTTTTTTTTTTTTTTTTTTTTTTGAAGAAGAAGAAGAACTTGTGTTCTTTTTTTCTTTTGAAAAATAAACAAATTTAATTAATCGGAGAGAAAAAAAGAGAAAAATCACGAATACAACTTGACAGAGCATCGCTCCAATACTTAGGATCCTTAGAATAATAAAGATTAACCGTCCTAATCATTGTATGAGCAATCTCATTGTACAAACTTGTGTTCTTTCTAAAATTAAATATCCAAAATGCAATCATATGAAGAATTGAAGTGAAAAATTTAATGAAAACGAGACTACGAGAGTATGTATTCTAAATATGTTTAACCAATTTTTTTTTTTTCATTTTTGTAAAAAATAAAAGACAAAAACTGTTAAATCAAAAGTCGATAATTAAAAATTAATATGAACAAACCATAAGCGGTACTAAATACATAGTAATATATTTTAAGATTAAGAATACATATTAAATACATTTACAGAGTAATATATTTTAAAGAATTATATACTCCGTATCAATTTGTTTTAATAAAATTATGATTTTAAAAAAATTAAAATGTTGAAAGGACATTATTTTGTCGTATTTGACAAAAAGTTGAACGACATTATGTTGCAGGACGATGAATCAATTATACGAAGACGGACAGAGCCACGGCTGTCAGTTGTTTTTGTTATAAATACCTGTAAGCGAGTGGTGAAATAAAGATTTTTTTTTTTTTTGACGTGCGGTGTGAACCGATTAACTATGAATAATTAAAATTAAGTTACTACGGAGTATATTTCTTTATCGATTAGAGTTATAAAACAGGTTTCACCAAGAGTGAGCATATATTTGAGTAGAGGTTGCGATTAATTTTTTTTATTTTTATTTTATAACCCCGACTTCGTCAGACTATATCATAAACCTCATAAATATGCTCTAATACCAATAAAAGAAAAAAATCTTGAGTTATCCAAATGATTCTAAGTTCTCTGTCGCTTGTACACTTTTGCGCATGAAATATTTATACTACCACTAATTGATCAACGTTCCTCAAATTCATGTGGCCCCATCTTATTATTAAAAATATGAATAAACGTTGATTGATCGATCAAATACTTAAACTACTCGGTGAGTTTTTTCTTTAATTTTTTCTTTTTTTTTTTGGAAGGATAAACAAGTACTTAAGTGCGATACAACAATGTACTATGTACCTATTACAACTGTAAAATCTATACAAGAAACAGTCCTAATTGATTACGTAAAGAGTTCTACTACATGAACTCTCAAATCATACACTTTAAATTTTATTTTTTGATATAGCGAACACTCATTAGCTACTTTTTTCATGACATTCTAACTAGCCGTGCCACGAAAATCAATGCAAATATGGACATTTGACGCAGAGACCTTATGTGAATTATTTTTTGTACTCTCTATTTGTGAGATTTTTTTTGATTGATTTAAAAAAAATGAATTAAGCTTTTTATTCATCACATTTTCTTTCAATGTTAAAATTGAAATATGTAACTATGTAATGGAAGTTTTACTCTTTGAAATTACACTTTTCTTTTTCCTTTGAAATCAATCGATGGAGTGTCAATGTGTTTTGGGGACCTTTAGGCAAAAGCTTAGGTCATCCTCGATCGTGATTTTTTATATGGCTTTTGAGGAAGCAAAATTTATATGGAGGAGACTGGAGAGATTGAGATGAGAAAGAATAAAATAGAACTACAATGCATTGATTTTTATCAGAATTATGGGATCCACAAAGAAAAAATAAAAGTCTAGCCTGATTCGCGTAAAATAATTTTTGAGTTAGATTGATATCCTATTAATCGAACATAATTATAGCATGTAGAGTTCTTAAAAATGTATTTAATTTGGTGATTGACAAATCTATGGAGTAGGGATTGTTTCAAGTGGTTTATTTTGCCACAATGTTATGTTGGGATATGAGCTTTCATTCAATTGATTGAAATCAGAATACAATTCACATTCACAATTTATGTTGCACAAAAACTCTTAATAATTATTCAGTCTTTCATATTTTGCATGTCAGTCAAATTAAATCAACACTTTCTTCACTACTTATTTTCTTTAGTAATTTTTAGTTGTTTTAAATTTGATTTTTTTTTTTTTTGCGTTTAATATTATTTTTAATGTAGTTTCTAAAATTTTAATGGGTGAAAAAAGAGAAAAGGAGAATAAAAGATTAAATTGCCTTCATTATTTCACCCATTAAAAAATTGAATAGTTACAGTACGTACTAAATTGACAATTTTGAAATTTGTAAACTGTAATTGACAACAACCAATAGTTATATGATCAAAAGTGAAATTTACTCTATATATATGTAAATATATGCATGTAATGCTTTTTGTTTAATGATTGAGATCCTCTTACATCTTATCCTTTTCATGCAATTGC